CTGGACAAAGAAGACCAAGGAGGAGGCTTCGGGTGGGCTCTGGCTCCCATCCCAGCTTTACCCACAACTCCGCTGTGCTGTGTATGGTGTGGAGTTCTACTGCCTGAGTGATCACAGGAGCCCCTTCTCTTAAAACGGACCGTGGATCGTCTCTCCTCACTGGCTGTCAGGCTGTGGGCACGGCATGGCATCGTGAGCTCAAAGGAGGCCGTGCAAATGGGCCGTTTACCCCCATCGTTGGGGAACCGGTCAAAAAGCAAACTAAAGATGGCTGTCTAGTCAGTGAGGCCAAGCCACAGCCTTAGGCTTGAAAAATGTGGAAAGTTCCTGGCAAGGGGCTGGGACCAGGTGCAGGAGAAAGTCTGCACGGATACTGAGCTAGGAGACGCACAGGACAGAGCTCAGAGTCAAAATGCTGCGTGTCTACAGATTGGAGAGGTGTTTATGTCACATGCATATCTCTGATAGGAGCCATCTAAAGCCAAGACGAAGGGAGACGAGGAAGTCCTGGGGTCTGAGATGAGGGAGGCATTTCCCTCTGTTCTGCCTGCATTTCTGCTACGCAGAAGCCTGGTTGGTGGGTCAGAGGGCGCCTGCGTGGCCAGAGGCTCTGAGCCAGGCCTGCCTTTTCCCTTGACACAAAGGACTAAACATTGAGGATCCGGGTCCACATAAGCTCATGGAATTTCGAGGGTAGAAGGGATGTTAGAATTACCTGAGCCTCTCTGCTGCTTGAATCCCCCGAATAACACAGTCACAAAGTGAACACTTGCTTAACCACCCGCTGTGAGTGGCCATGGCTGGCCCCAAGGAACCGGTGGTCACAAGACTGGGAGCAGGCTTTAAGCTCCTCTTGAGCAGATGCCCCTTGCCCCACAGTGACTAGCTACTGATGCCTCCCGTCTAAAGGCCTTTGGAACTGGAAAATTCTTGCCCTGTGAAATGTATGTATCAAGCTATAATGGACCCAGATTTACTTTGCACACCTTTCTGCTCCATTTTGTCTCTGCCTTTTATTTGAATTTGCAGATGACTTGCTAATTGACTTCTGTATGTAACCAATATCATGGCTCATCCCAGTTCCCATCCAGCACTGGTGGTAAATTGCCAAGTTCTTGGCAAAACTCACAGAAGGCTCCCATGTACAAAATCTGGAGGAGGACATCACCCAGGAATGAGGCCAGAGTCCCAGTGAGGGTGGATGATGCCTACTAGCTCTTCCAGCAAATTCCTCTGCCCTTCCTGCCCCACCTTGTCCTAACTGAAAAGGGAAGCCTTATTTACTCTTTTTTTCAAATTGCTAGGTGTCCTGAATTTCTTGCCCTTCCTTTCATCCCTACTCTAGGTGGTTAGGGAAGGAAAGGGAGAGAAGGAACCTCATGGTTTTCCTTGCCTCCTTGGCCAGGAAACATTCTGTCAAAGAGTGAAGACCCTAAAAAGCGATTACACTCTTAGGTATATATGCCAAAGAATTGAAAACGAGTGTTCAAACAAAAACGTGTGCAGAAAAATTCACTGAAGCACTATTCACATAGCCAAAAGGTAGAAACAACCCAAACATCCATCCACCGATGAATGGATAAGCAAAATGTGGTATATCCATACAGGATTTTTTTTTTTCAGGACATATGAGTTTAATTGCCTACTAGACCATCCAGTTGGAAATATGTGGTAAATGAATGGAAACCAGAGTCACAAAATTAGGAGAGAGGCAGGCATTTTTAGACCAGCTTAGGTTTAGACATTCACCAGGTTGGACTTTTTTTTAAAAAACATTTAAAATAAAACTTCTTACCACAATAAACAGAACAATATATTAAAACTGACTTCCAGAATTGTCCAAATTATTTTAATCACATTTTTTTTCACATTTCTTTAAATGTCACGTTTTCTTTGGCAAATTTGTTCAAAATACTAAATTTTCATATTATAATTTAGTTTATCTAATAGAGTGCCCTACATTGATGGTCATCAGGATACCTTTCTCTAAGCCCTAATGGTTTGTATCTTCCCTTTAAAATGTATTAGTGGGCGCCTGGGTGGCTCAGTTGGTTAAGCAACTGCCTTCGGCTCAGGTCATGATCCTGGAGTCCTGGGATGGAGTCCCACATCGGGCTTCCTGCTCAGCGGGGAGTCTGCTTCTCCCTCTGACCCTCTTCCCTCTCGTGCTTTCTATCTCTCATTCCCTCTCTCTCTCAAATAAATAAATAAAATCTTTAAAAAAAATTAAATGGAAAATCAAAATAATTAGTTTTTAAAAAAAATTAAAAAAAAATAAAATGTATTAGTATCGGGGCGCCTGGTGGCTCAGTCGGTTAAGCGGCTACCTTCGGTTCAGGTCATGATCCCAGGGCCTTAGGATCGAGCCCCGCATCCAGCTCCCTGCTCAGCGGGGAGCCTTCTCCCGCTCCCTCTGCCTGCCACTCTGTCTACTTGTGCTTTCTCTCTCTCTCTCTGTCAAATAAATAAAATCTTTAAAAAATAAATAAATAAAATAAAATGTATTAGTATCTTTAAAAAGTGTATAAATATCTTTTAATTATGTTATCATTTTCAAAGAAATCCTAGGGGGAAACATTATGAATTAAACACCTGTAAGTTCTTCATTTCTGCTATAGTATAGCAATCGGTCATCTAACCCATAGTGGCCTAGCAACTGAGCAAGGCTGAGTCTTCTTGTCAGTTGCAACCGATTGCCCCTCGTAAAGCAACAGCTGATTACAGCTTCTCCACTTCTTTTTGAGCAACCCCATAACTGGCCCAAGTCATTCTTTGATCTATACATTATGCTAGTTTTGGTCCCCGAAGAAGGTCTTCCTTTTCCTCAACCTGCTTCACCAGTTTTGCTTGTTCTTCATTTAATCTGTGTTTGGGAATCCTCATTCTCAAAATCGTTTTGGAGACCACTGCACAACGCAGGATCAAGTGCATAGATTCACGTGCATCGATATTCTGGAAGGTATTTTATGAAATACGTACTTTCTTTACATTCACGATCTATGTGTTTAAAATGTTCTTAAAATTCCAAACGGTTTTCTTCTGGTGAAGATACTGATGTCCTCAAAAAGTTCTGTTAGTCTTCATTCTTTAAGACATTTTACCATGCTGTAACAGGGATTAAATGAAGATCTTGTTTTCCTTCCTCATTGTTTAAGTGTTGCCCTTACAGGTTCTTCTCTTGAACTGCTTGTGTGGGGAGGTGCTGGATCAGCACGGGCTTGGGGAGAGCTCAGGAAAGTCGCAGCTGAGCTTGATGCACTTTCCATCTTGGAAATGAAATCTCAGTTTTGCCTCTCCCTGAGCCAGCGCAGAGAGCGTTGAAAGCCCACCCGATATTATCCATTATTCCATAGCTGTAAAAAGGATTAAAGTCTTGATACACGCTACAACGTGGATAAACCTTGAAAACATTTTGCTAAGTGAAAGAAGGCAGACATAAACGCCATTTAGTGTATGATTCCATTTTTTTTTAAAGATTTTATTTATTCATTTGAGACACAGATACAGAGAGAGCACGAGCAGGGGGAGAGGGAGAAGCAGGCTTCCTGCTGAGCAGGGAGCCCGATGTGGGGCTCGATCCCAGGACCCCGGGATCATGACCCAAGCCGAAGGCAGACACCCAACCATCTGAGCCACCCAGGTGCCCCCCATTTATTTTTTTTATTATTATGTTATGTTAATCACCATACATTACATCATTAGTTTCTGATGTAGTGTTCCATGATGTATGATTCCATTTATATGAAATATGGAGAAGAGACAAATCCATAGAGAAAAAAGCAGATTAATGGTTGCCAGAGGCTGGGGCTGGCAGAGGAAGGGAGTAACAGCTAATGGGGGTTTCCTTTGGGGATGACGAAATGTTCTGGAACTAAATCGTGGTGATGGTTGCACAATATTGTAAATCTATTAAATTCCACTGAGTTTGACACTTTAAAATGGTTACAGTGGTGAATTTTACCTCAATCAATAAAATAAAATAAGGAAGACCGATCAACCACCCCAGGGTTGAAAGAGGAGGAAGGGAAAGATCTGGAATCTAGAACATGTCTCTGAGTTTAGTTTCCTCATCTGTACCGTGGTGGTAATAATGCCCCCAGCCGGCATGAGTAATTAGAACGAATAAGTGTTACATAAACACTTAGCACTGGAGGCACTCAAAGTCAATGTTAATTGCCTTATTTTCTATGTAAGTATCTAAACCTGTATGTCCCTATACCTTTATTTCTTATGACCCTACTGTTTGGGGCTCCAACCAGCCAATCTGTTCTTCACAAGGGCTCCTCCCACTTCCTCTCCCTGCCTTTGGCTGGCTGTTCCACCGTCTGGGAGGTTGTCCTGCCTTGTGTTAAAGGCCTGTAGGGTTGCTAGGCCACTGCCACGGAATCACGTAAGAGCTGATTTTGTGGGACCCCCTGCTGAATCAGACTCTCTGGGGATGCTTGCTTCAGGGGAATCTGGTATCTGTATTTTTAATAAGTGCTCTAGGTGATGATCGTGCATATTCAAGTTGGAGACTACTCTTTTAATTTATCCCTGTCTTTACCATCTTTTCCAGGAAGTCTGCTCAGACTCCTCCCCTGAAAAGCCCTCTGATTAGCCAGAGTGCTCCTTTCCTGTGTCTGCGGTTCTCAGTGTCTAGGCCAAAGTCAGCTTGGGTTCGGCTGGGTCTGCTCGCTCCCTGCAGACTGGGGGACTCCCAGGGACAGATGCTTGGCCTTCTCTTTCCTCTTGTCACCCTGGTTCCTCCTGAGTGTAGGTTCTCCTGGGATGCCATAAGAAGGCAAGACTCTTTAGTTTTAAAGTCCTTAGAATCCTGCTTACTTCCACAGATATTTAGGAGAACTTAGATTGGCTCTCTTCCTACCATTCTCCTGACTTTTTGAGATGATAAAGAAATTGTATTACTGTGTCACATCAGCCTTTGCTTTTCCTGTCCCATGTCATCCCACAGATGTGCTAGGTGTGGGCCGGCCCCCACCCCACCCTGACAAGTAACCATGGATCCTGGAGCCGGGCCAGAGTCATCTCTGACTGTCAATGAGCAGGTATATGCTAGGGCAGGAAGGGGCGGGGGGAGTGAGGGTCATGGACCCCGGGGTATGGTCAGGAGGAAGACTCCACAGAGCCTGTCAGTATGTGTTTCTTACCAAAATTCTTTGTCACTTCACTCATCCAGATATAGTTACCAGCTAGGATTTCTCAGGGGCTGAGTTGGGGGATTTAAGCTGTGACTTTTTTTTTTTTTAAGATTTTATTTATTTATTTCAGACAGAGAGAGAGAGGGCATGAGCTGGCGGGGAGGGGCAGAGGGAGAAGCAGAGTCCCCACTGAGCAGGGAGCCCCATGTGGGACTCCATCCCAGGACCCTGAGATCATGACCTGAGCCGAAGGTAGACGTTTAACTGGCTGAGCTACCCAGGCGCCCCTAAGCTGTGACTTTAAAAAATGAAATTAAAATATACAAATATGTATGGGGCACATGGCTGGCTTGGTTGGTAGTGCATGTGACTCTTGATTTTGAGGTCGTGAGTTTAAGCCCCACATTGGGGTAGAGTTTACTTTTAAAAATAAAGAAAAATTTAAAAACATATATACAAATATGTATATTTTTACATAAGGAAAGATTTGGACATCACATAATTTACTCTATTTTTTCGTATATATATATTATCATTTTTTGTAGTGAACGTATTTATTACATCATTTTTTAAAAGAAAAAAAAGACTAATATCTCTTAAAATGTAATTGGACTGAAGTCCCTCATAGGTCAAGTTTGCATCAGAAAGGGAACTGCTTTTGGAAGTTTATTTCACTCATACTTCCCTGATGGGTTACATTGTCACTTTTTCCGGCAGTCTCTGGCTGGATTCAATTTTCAGGCCTCAGGACTGTGTTGTGGGAGTGCCTTCGGGTACAGGCCAAGTGCAGGGGAGGCCCGATGGAGCTTTTGCATACACAGGGTGTCCCTGAATCTTGAATGGCCCAATTCAAAGTGCTGGAGGTAAAGAGCCCAGGAGCGCTGGCTGTTTGAGCAGGAGGAGACCACCAAGTGTTCTAAAGGAGGCCTGCGGGCTGCCTGCACCGCTGGGATGTGGAAGCCGCCCTCCAGGTTGGAGCATGCCCACAGGTGGCGCGACTCGGCCTGCAGGCCCACGGGGTCCAAAGCTCCAGCCCAGGATCCCTGACCCTTGTTTCAGGAAGTTAGCTCACAGGGGAATCTTGGCCTTTACCCCAGGGTTTTAGAAATAAAGGAATCATGAGCTTAAAAAGTTCCTCAACATTGTGGAGCAATCATTTTCCACCCCCTTTATCTTTGAGGGAACTTCTATAAGGTTTTGTGTGTGTGTGTGTTTTTTAAAGATTTTATTTATTTATTTGACGGAGAGAGACACAGAGAGAGAGGGAACACAAGCAGGCGGAGTGGGAGAGGGAGAAGCAGGCTTCCCGCTGAGCAGGGAGCCCGATGCGGGGCTCGATCCCAGGACCCTGGGATCATGACCTGAGCCGAAGGCAGACGCTTAACGACTGAGCCACCCAGGCGTCCCTCTATAAGGTTTCAAGAGAAGTGAAGAGGGATTTGCTTCTTGGCCCAGCTTAGGCTGTGGATACCGTGTTAGGGGCCTCCATCACCACCCTCCAATATCCTAGCAGCTAAGAGGACACCCTGGCAAGGCTGTGGGATAGGCCACTTACCACTCCCTGAACTTAGTCCAAGAAGGGGGGCAAATAGAAATATTCCCAAGCGCTTTGGCTCTGTGGGGCTTGTTCCAGCACATGTCAAGCCCTTCCCCTGTCACCAGGCCCCCAGTTCCTTTCCGAAGCTCCTTTCCTGGAATCAGGGAGCTGCAGCCTGCCCCAGGCTGTGGAATTGCCACAGAGCAGGCAGCCCTCAGGCAGGAGGTCCGAGTCTTGAAGTGCGCTCTCGGCTCTCCCCCAGCCAACCCCAGAGCTCTGCTCCCCAGGAGCTAGACCAGCCGCTCCGCACCAGCGAAGTCCCCTGTGCTCTCTTTGCAGGTCATCGTGATGTCCGGCCACGAGACCATCCGCGTGCTGGAAGTTGGAGTGGATGCCCAGATCTCTGCCGAGGAGGAGGGCAAAGGGCTGGAGGGTGTGGCTGCCGAGGGCTCCCAGAGCAAAGACCCTGGCGAAGCTAGTGAGCCTGCTGATGAAGCCGGGCCAGACAACCCAGACTCCTCTGCAGAGGCAACTGGTACGAGGCCATCAGTCCCATCTGGCATTGCACCACCTGAGTCCCTTTCTCTGGATCCTTGGAGAGCCAGCATGAATCCCTGGGGCCTCGGTGGCCTTAGGGTCTTGCTGTCTTCCTGTCCAATGGACAGCCTCTGGCCACAGCTATCCTTCTGCTCAGCTGCTAGGGCTGTCCTGCCCTCCTTGTCCCTGGAACTCTAGATCTGGTTTCAATCACTTCCATACCTAAACTGGGATGGTCATGGTGAGGTGGGCGGAAGAGAGGCAAGGCTCAGTTGAGGGGATTGAATTCACCTCAGAGAGAGAGGGCTCCAGGTCTCAGCCAGACCCTCAGGCCCAGTGCAGAAAAGACTAGACCTTTAGGATCCTGACAGCCCTTCCAACTGAGTACCTTTGGTGGTGGATCTGGGAGGTCCCAGCAGCTGGGGGTGGGGGCGCGTGTTACCTACCCTGGACTAAGGGTGTGGGTTAGGTAGGACCTTATAGAATCTGAGCTCCTTACTCCCAGCTGGGCTGCTGTGAGTCAAGCCAGCTGGTCTTACTTGTGCTGTCCTCTAAAGACACTTGAGGGCAAGAGTTTGATTCTCCTGTACGGGGAATGGAGAGAGATGATCCACCCACACGGTCTCTCCTAATTACCCTGCAGTATAGCTGCGACACAACCAGGGCTGTCCTAGAGGCTGGGACTGGTGTCAGGCATGGCTCTCTGGCCGTGGGGCACCCTTTCCTGGACTTTCCTCACTGATACCTTGCAGAGTAGACGTCTTTTGCTGGAAACCTGGGACCTCCCTGGTCAGTCCCCCCAGAACCCCACGATTCATCTCCCCTAGCCTACTGCTTATCTTCCCTTCCCTAGATTGGAGATCTGGGCTGTTGGGGGTGGGCCAAGAGGAGGAGCCAAGAAGAGAGCAAATGAGGACAGGCTTTAGGGAAAAAGCAATTCCTGAATAAGAAAACCGCAAGGCCTCATATCCCTTGCTCTACCCACAATCAGTGTGCAGATTCATTTGGGACCCTAGTAACCCCGGGTCATTTTTTCTCCTTTTGAATGAAGGAATGGCAAGAGACATGACCATTCGCCCCTAGCCTGCAAATGCTCTGCTCCGTGTTGAAGCTGGGGTGGGCATCGCCTGCCCCTGTGGGGGCAGTGCCCTGGAGAGCAGGCAGCCAAGACAAGGGTGTTACATCTGGCTCCCCTTCTCATCCCTGTCCATGGTGGGGATGAGGCCCCTCTTCAGAAAATTTGGGAGGTATCCCAGGTTTATCCTCATTTTCCCTTTTAGTCATTTTTTTTTAAGAGAGGGAGGTGGAGAGGAGGGAGAGAGAGAATCTTAAGCCGAATCATGCTCAGCAAGGAGCCCGATGTGGGGCTCGACCTCAGGACACTGAGATTGTGACCTGAGCTGAAATCAAGAGTCGGACGCTTAACCGACTGAGCCGCCCAGGCGCCCCATCCCTTTTTACTCTTCAATCTGTCTTCCATATCTCATTTCTTCTGGTGCCTTAATTCTGTTCCTTGTCCAAACCTGCTCTCGGAAATGGATCCTAAATCAACTATTTACACCTTAGCATGAGTGTTTATGGTAATGTACATCATCTTCCAGAGGTTTGTATATTTAAGCCTTTAACGAAAGTCCTATTCTCTGGAAAGGAAATTCTAGTTATCATCAAGAAGGTAAGGGAGGCATTGTGACGTACCTCCTAAGAAGCTGCCAACTTAGACTGTGGCCTTGCAATCTTTCTAGGTACGCAATATTATGAAGAGTTTCCTCTTCAAACAAAACTAAGTAATGGGAAACTTTTTCAGGATGAAAAAGCTCGAGTGATTTATATCACTCTAAATTACTACCCAGTCCTTGTCACAAGTATGTATCTTTAAAGTTGTGGCCACCAAGAGTAGACTGTAATAGGACACTTACCACCATATTATTCATAGGCCCATTTCCTTTACTGACATCGATTCTTACACCTGAGTCTGGGTTTGGCTATTGTCAAACTGTCTGGTTTTTCACTGTCATAACTGGTACTGCTTTGAGTGCCTTTGTACTGGTCCTTTGAAAATTTGTTTTTTCCTTTGAGGTATTGTCCACTTGAATTCCTTTTGAAGAGAAATCAATTGTGTACATAGGAGGAAGTCATGACATGAAAAATACAAAATCTATCAATGAGAGGACAAGTTAATTGGCTATAAGGTACCACATGCCTGTTAAGCCAGAAAAATAAACAGTGATAAAACCTAAACTGGGTGGCACTTTGGAGAAATAGGAACATTATTGACTGTTCTGTGAATTGGTTCAGTCTCTGAAAAGCAGTCTTGCAAGAAGGGACAAAAGCCCTAAATGTGTACAGACCCTTGGACCCTGGGTCCTACTTTGGAAATAAATCCTAATAAAATGAATATGTCCTTTCTTTAGATGGTAAGCTTTTCTCATTCATGTTCATCACATTCCCATTTTCCTACTTTCCTTTTTTTAAATTTCATAAAATTTTGTCACGCAAAATCTTTTTTAAATTTTCATGGATTCAGGGGTGCCTGGGTGGCTCAGTTGGTTAAGCGTCTGCCTTCAGCTCAGGTCCTGGGATCAAGCCCCGCATCGCATCGGGCTCTCTGCTCAGCGGGAAGCCTGCTTCTCCCTCTCCCACTCCCCCTGCTTGTGTTCCCTCTCTCACTATGTCTCTCTCTGTCAAATAAATAAATAAAATCTTTAAAAAAATAAATAAATTTTCATAGATTCAGAGTATCCTTATGTTCTCTGATTTTTTTCAGTAGTTAGAACTGCATTCCCCTCCACAGTGGAGATGAACCTGCTATTTTGTTTTGTTTGAATTTTATTTTATTTTTTTTAATTATGATTTTATTTATTAATTTGACAGAGAGAGAGACAGCGAGAGAGGGAACACAAGCAGGGGGAGTGGGGGAGGGAGAAGCAGGCTTCCCGCGGAGCAGGGAGCCCGATGTGGGGCTTGATCCCAGGACTCTGGGATCATGACCTGAGCTGTAAGCAGATGCCCAACGACTGAGCCACCCAGGCGCCCCCTGTTTGAATTTTAGAAGGCTTTAGTTGTTGCCTGTTTGTCTCTTTAATTCCTTAAACAACTGGATTTTTTGTCCTTATATACTGTGAACGTTACAGTCCTGAGTTAAATTGCTGCCTTTCCAGATTAAAACAGGGGCTGGGAACGTAGGGTTGGAAGGTTAACTGATTCAGTGGTTCCCACTCTGGCTGCGTGCTGTATCACAAGCGAGCTTAAAAAAAAGAAGAGAGAGAGGAGCGGTTGCTGGCCTCCACTCCCGGGCATTCCCATTCAGGAGGCCTAGATTCGGGCCTGGAAATCTATGCGCAGCCAGTATTAAGAGGCCACTGATCTGGTCTAACCTCCATCACCCCATCCGTGGTCTCACCATGTATTAAATAATAACCCCTCTCCTCATGGTTGTGTGGCTTTGAAGAGGTTTCCTGGTAGGGTCCCCGATACCTGACTAAGTCGGACGCTGTAACATGGGTGAAAAGCTCCGGTTCACAGGAGGTTCCTTTAGAAGCTCAGCGAAGCTTCTCTTCTGGACCTTAGCCCTTAGGCACTGGCAGAGAAACTCTGCCCAGCCTGGAGTGCCCCTTCTGGAGTCCAGTTTTCAGGGCCTGTCACTTCAAGGACTTCACCCTACAGGAATCCTCGGAGCCTTGCCCCAAGCCAGCACCTGCATCCAAAAAGAAGCCTGCAGGTGGCGTGAGCAATGATTCCGCTGCCGGATGAGCCAAGGGAAGTTGCTCCCATTGATTCTAGCTCCTTCCCTTCCTGCCACACGTTCACTTCAGGCCCTTCTACTGATGATGTGATAGGTCACCGTGTCCTGTGGAGCCGGGAAATGAGAGACTGAGAGCCAGCTGCGCACAGGCCTGCATTTTCTTCAGCTAGAGGTGGGAAGAGGGTAGCCTACCTTGCAGGTCAGGCACAGGGCTCCCCAGCCTCCTGTTCTCACGACCGGCAGCACTGGGGGAAGCAGTCTCCCTGGGGCCAGGGAAGGCCAGTGATTGGCCTTGGGTTATGCAGAAATAGAGCGTGAAGCTGAGAGTTGCCACCTCAGGCTGCAGCAAGATGCTCTACTCCGGTGACCCCTCCGCGCATACCAGGCTCACTCCGTGTCCTTTCTCTCCATGCCATGTGAAGTGAAGTCTCTGCCGGGGATCCCTCCGAGCCCTGCCCCTGTTGTTGCCACCTTCAGCCAAGCCCCCAGCCAGCCTCAGGCCTCGCAGACCCTGGCGCCACTAACTGTACAAGCTGCCCCCCAGGTAAGGGCCCCCCGGGGAGCTGAGCAGAGGGCCCTGGGCAGGAGCAAAGCATGGGACAGCCAACGTGGGGTGGCCGTGGGATCTGGGAATTTCACGGGCAGAACAGGGAAGGGGCTGTGGCTTGGAGGAGGGACTCCCCCCTACTAGGCACCCCTGGCCTCTCCCCTACCCCAGATCAGGCCCACTGGGAAAATCAGATGTGTGCTTGCCAAGTCATATCCCTGGGTCCAGCAAGGACTGTAGGTAGGGAGAACATTAACTCTTTCGTGCCACAGGTGTCTCTTTATCTCATGACTAAATGAGGGGATGCCCTTGTCAGCCCCTCCAGGGGATGCCTGGCAGAGTTAATGGATTGTTCAGAGTCCTCATTTAGAGCCAGGGGGCAGCCCCAGTGCAATGAGAAGCTGCCTCCCGGATCCCCCAGCCGTGCTGCACTCCCTGTGGCCCTTCACTCCCGGCACAGATCTGCCAGGCATCCGGCAGGGGTATCCTCCATCACAGCTGCCCAGAGGCCTCTGTAGGCCCTCGACCACTTGGTTCCACCAGCCCCCGCCCTTGCTTCCCCTTGGCTGTGCTGTGAGCAGGGCCAGGCCCTGTCTCCAAGGCGGGCAGCTTCTCTGAAGGCAGGCTCGTCAGGTCCAGGCACCCCCTCAGGGTTGGGCCTCCGGCTAGGGCTTGTCTCTTCCCCACCCTCATGTGGCCTTCCCCCCCCCCCCCCCGCCCCCCACCGCCCTCAGAATGCTTTGTTTGTGCTCTACTGGGTCCGAGAGACCCGGTGTTTGCGCTGTCAATGTTGATTTTTTATTTTTTCTTTTCTTTTTGAAATCTTGTTTGCTTTTGCAGGTCTTGACTCAGGAAAACTTAGCCACAGTTCTGACAGGAGTTATGGTTCCAGCAGGGGCAGTTACTCAACCTCTTCTTATCCCCATCAGTATTGCAGGTCAAGTGGCTGGTCAGCAGGGGCTGGCCGTGTGGACAATTCCTACAGCAACCGTGGCCGCCCTCCCAGGACTGACAGCTGCTTCTCCCACGGGGGGAATTTTCAAGCCACCTTTAGCCGGTCTGCAAGGTAACGGCAACTCTCCCCAGGACGGCACCAGGCCCCCCACCACCCTATACTGCTCTCCCTGCACGCGTGCTTGCCATGTTGGACTCAGAACCCGCGGCCCGCCAGGGCCCACAGCCCTGGAGTCTGGATCCGGTGTCCCAGGCACCCCGCCACAGAGCTGCTGCACCATCTCGGGACTCTAGGCCATGACACGGTGCTGGCCCAGCAGGCCTCTCCTACTCCAGCCAACTGAGACTGCCCCTCTCCCCCCACGCCAGAATTCACCCCACGACCAGCCTCCTGAGAAGGACTGCAAGAAGATTCAGCTTCTGGTTTTGAACCTCCACATCTCCAGGCCCAAGGGAGGGGGGATGAGAGATGTTGTCCTGTGCTGCCCGTGCAAGGATCAAGGGAATCACAGCTGCCTGTCCCCTCTGCCCTGCTGTCCCAACCCCCTCTCCTGCCTGTGCCAGATCCCCTGGGATTGGAGCCGCTCGGGGGGCCGCGGCAAGGCGTTTGAGCACCCCTGTCTCTGCCTTGCTCCGTAGCAGCCGCTGTGCTGAACGCCGCCCTCCCGACACCCGTACAAGCTGTCCCACCGCCGGCACAGGCCTCCTCGCCCAGCCAGCCCCGGCCAGCAGCCCAGGCCCAGACGCTGTTCCAGACCCAGCCGCTGCTGCAGACCGCGCCTGCCATTGTCCCGCAGCCCACTGCTGCGGCCGCGGCTGCCCCCACGCCCAAGCCGGTGGACACCCCCCCACAGATCACCGTCCAGCCCGCGGGCTTCGCGCTGAGCCCAGGAATTGTAAGCCGCTGCCCTCACCCGGGGCTGATCAGGGATGGACTGAATCTTGGGCCAAGGGTGGAACTGGCCCTTCCCACAGGGGAGGAAGGAGGTGGAGGACCAGTCCCCCGAATACAGCTCTTTTCCAACACATCAGCAGAGATGGCCCCCCTCTGAGGCCTTCTCCTTGCATCTGCCAGCCCATTCGTCCCAGACAAGAGCAGACAGCCTCCGCCAAGAGGGCTGCGCAAATTCTCCAGAACCTGAACCACTGGATCGGCCTTGGAGGGTGGGATGATGGCTGGGGATTGCACACTTGTGAGCTGTAACAAGGCGGAGTTGGAGGCTCACGGCCCCACGCCAGTCTGTCCAGTGTGGCTCCTGGCTTGCCAGGGGAGCTGTTAGGTGCGACTAGAATCACATCGCCCCCCCCACCCCCAGTCTGGACTTTCTGTCCTCCCAGGCCTGGCCTGAGAGATTAGCCAGAGTTACCCTTCCACGGCAGTGGTCCCACTCTTCCCTGCCAGGCCCCTGCAGCCCCTGGCCCTGGATACTCTTCAGCTGGACTTGGGCCTGCAGCCCACATTCACATCTGCCCAGCACCTGTATCTCCCCACCCCCCCCCCCCCCCCCCCCCCCCCGGCCCTCAGCATTCTCCTCTCTGCCTTGGGCCCTTTCTTGCCCCTTGGCCTCTGAGCAGGATTCTTTCTCCACCCACAGATCAGTGCCGCTTCCCTCGGGGGACAGACCCAGATCCTAGGTTCCCTCACTACCACTCCGGTCATTGCCAACGCCATTCCCAGCATGCCAGGGATCAGCAGTCAGATCCTCACCAACGCTCAGGGACAGGCAAGTGGTCAAAGGCAGGGCTGAGGGGTGGGGGCTGTGGAGAAGCTATCTGGGGGGTCAGGATGCGGGCTAATGGTCAAAGAAACTCCTCCAACAGGGTATCAAGCTGCTGTCCCTGTCCCTTGTGTGGCAGCTCTGTGCTGATGCTGAGCCCGACAGGGGCATAGCCACCACCCCGCCCTCTAGGTGCTCACTCTAGCCGGGGGCTTTCATTTGTGGAGCACCACCTCGTGGCCTGGCTCTGCGTTAGGTGCTTTCTTGTACATTACCTCACCTCACTTGGAGTACAGGCCTACTAGGTAGAGATTTGCATTCCCCTTTTACAGGGGAGAAGGCTGAGGTCCAGAGAAATTAAGCCACCCGATAAAATGAGGCAGGGCAGGGATTCACATCCAGGGCCGTGTGACTCACGTGCAGGCCTACTCCTGCTCCACCACAGCTCTGGAGATCGCACAAAGGAAACAGCTCCTAGAGGATGAATCCTTGTCTTTACTGATGAGTAAACTGAGCTCCAGAAGGGTGAAATGATTTAAGTCCCTTCCCCTGCCAGTGTGGGCGTTTGGGTTGGGGGCAGGACTGGACACTGGCCTCACACCCGGGGTCCCTGCGTTGTTTCCTCCCAGGTTATTGGAGCCCTTCCGTGGGTAGTGAACTCGGCTAGCGTGGCAGCCCCAGCACCGGCCCAGAGCCTGCAGGTCCAGGCTGTGACACCCCAGCTGTTGTTGAATGCCCAGGGCCAGGTGATTGCAACCCTGGCCAGCAGCCCCCTGCCTCCACCCGTGGCTGTCCGGAAGGCAAGCATGCCTGAGTCCCCTGCTAAGAGTGAGGTACAAGGGCTGGGTTGGGGCGAGGGCAGGGTTGTGGGGGGTGGGCGGCAGGCAGGGCTGTCTGGCGTGGGCTGCCTCCCTCAAGACTGCAGGGCAGGACAAGATTATCTTCTGAAGTCCCCGGGAAACAGCACCTCTCCAAAGCGAGGGGAAATCCCAGGGTAGAAGGCCCAAGCGAGTCCCCACATACTCTGTCCAGGGAAGGAGCACCCCCCACCCTTACCCGCACACACCCAAAAACGCGTCTCTGTGCCCTCAGAGGCTAGTGGCGTGCTGAGAAGGCCAGGGAGGTGGTCAGAGTAAACCGAGCCTGGATTAGCTCCAGGGTGAACAGACCACCAGAAGAACCCCAGAACTTTATTCTGCACCTCCTCCCACTTTACCCCTTCACTCTGCACTGTGGCTTTGATTATTGCTTTATTTGTTCATTCCAGGAGCAGTTTTTGAGTGCCTACTCTAACCCAGGTGCTGAAGATCTAGAGATGAGTAAGATGCCCTTCCTAGCCTTAGGTAGCCCAGTGCTGGAGACATTGCAAGCCAGCGTGACAAGGACTATGATAGGGACCTGCGAAGGTGCTGTGGGGACCCAGAGAAGGGAGCTCCCAACAGACCAGGGAGTTCAGCAAGGCCTCATAGAGAAGGGTCGGTGAACTCATCTAAAGGGATGAGTTCGATGGGAGAGTGGGCCGACCTTTACGTAATTGCAGGAATGATAATGTGCCAGAGCAGGGGTTCCCAAACTTGAGTGGGTATCAGAACCACCCGGAGGGCTTGTTGGAATGCAGATTCCCCGCGCACACACACACATTCCCCCCACCCCCGGGAGTTCTTATTCAGTAGGGTTGGAGTGGAGCCCAAGAGTTTGCATTTCTGGCAAGTTCTCAGGTGATGTTGAGGCCGTGGCCCTCAAATGTGGTGTGCTGTTTCCAAGCTTTGTGAATAACCCCTTAGCCTCCTCTGTAACATGGAGATTATCAGAGTACCAATTCAGAAGGTTATGAATGTTAATGGATATATTACACATAAGACAGTTAACACTCTGGTACACAGGAAGCACTGGAAAAATGGAGCTTTTATTTTATCACTGTTATTATGTAGTGGGAAGTCATGGAAGGGCTTTTAGCAGGGAAGTGGCTAGATGTGTATTAAAAAGAAATTACCCCCCTGGGGGGGGGCGGTTGGTGCCTGGGTGGCATAGTTGGTTAAGCATCTGACTCTTGGTTTCAGCTCAGGTCTTGACTTCAGGGTTGTGAGTTCAAGCCCCACGTTGGGCTCCACACTGGGCATGGAACCTACTTAAAAAAAAAAAAAAATTAGCTCTTATGCAGGTGGAGCTAAGAACTGAACAGTGGCAAGAATTGAGTCCTTGTCACCTGTTAGGCAGCCGAGAAACAGTTCTAGCAAGAAATGAGGAGCCCTGACCGAAGGCTAATAAGGTTCTGGTGATGAAGAAGGAATGGACTTGAGAGCTACCAAGAGGTAGAATCCAGGGAATAGGACCCATCCTAGAGAAATCTGCACTTTCCCGGAAGCTTTAAAAAAAAAAAAAAATCATACTGGGGCCCCCGGCTGGCTCAGTCAGTACAGCATGCGACTCTTGATCTCGGGCTCACGAGTTCTAGCCCCATGTTGGGGGTAGAGTTTACTCAAAAAAAATCATACAAAAAATACTAATGTCATATATTTACAGTTTCTCTTGATGATAAATATGATACATGATTTTTACAAAAATTCCAATAGTACGTTAATGGAAAAAAGTAAAATTCTACCTCCAGAGATGACTTCTGTTGACAACTTGCTTTATATGCCTCCAGATTTTTTTCCTGGAAACTCATATGTATTTTTTTTTGAAGATTTTATTTATTTATTTGACAGAGAGAGACACAGCGAGAGAGGGAACACAAGCAGGCGGAGTGGGAGAGGGAGAAGCAGGCTCCCCACTAAGCGGGGAGCCTGATGCGGGGCTCGATCCCAGGACCCTGGGATCGTGACCTGAGCCGAAGGCAGACGCCTAATGACTGAGCCACCAGGCGCCCCCATATGTATTTTTTTCTTTTATTATGTTATGTTAATCCCCATACATTACATCATTAGTTTTTGATGTAGTGTTCCATGATTCATTGTTTGCATATAACACCCAGTGCTCCATGTAGTACATGCCCTCTTTAATACCCATCACCAGGCTAACCCATCCCCATACATATTTTTAATAGGAATTATTCTCTAAAACCTGTTTTCACTTTACCTTTTTTTCCACTTAGCACTGTGACCCAGAGCTCTTTGCGTGTATTTAAGAGATTTACTGTACTCTTTTTAATAGCTGCATAGATTCTCACTGTAGGGGAGTCCCAGGAATCACTTGCCAGTTCCCTATTGATGGGCATTTGGGGCCTGGGAGGCCCTAGAATCAGGTTTCAGTTTCTGCTCTGAGGGAAAAGATTTGAGAGCAGTTATCTCAAGGGTGGATACTTGTTGGGGCTTTGACCAAGTGTACTGAAACTTTCTGAGCCTCTGACCTGCCTGTGTCACAGGTGCCTATGAGGCTCCAAATTGGTCATGATTGTTGGGTGGGTGCTAATAAGTAGCTTGTAAGTCTTGCTTTGTGATGGCGCATAGGTAGGAGTGTGCCAGGTGAGTGAGGATTTCATGCCCATTTTGCCCTGCCTCTGGACCTTGCAGGGACTGTAACCCCCTGAGCCAGGCAGGTGGGCAGTGGGGACTCATGGACTCTCTTCTCATAGGTACAGCCCATCCAGCCCACGCCAGCCGTGCCCCAGCCTGCGGTGGTCATCACCAGCCCGGCCCCAGCGGCCAAGCCATCTGCCTCTGTTCCCATTCCAATCACCTGCTCTGAGACCCCTACTGTCAGCCAGCTGGTATCCAGTAAGTGGCTCCTGGAGAAGGTTGTAGAGAAGAGGAGAGGAGGCATTTATTCAAATACCCCAGCGCCTTTAGATACTGCTCTCCTTAATAAACTTTCTAGAGTCCAAAGGGGAAGGGCAAAGGCCTGACACCAGGGATTGGCTCTCTAACTCCCATTCCTGCTGAGCTGGATTCTAGGCATGATGATAGTGGAGGCTGCTTCTTTGAGAAGCCAACCCAATGGCTGTCTCTCCTTTGGTCTCTCACCCAGTATCTGAGGAATGTGGATGGCTAAGGTGGGCTTGGGGCTAGGAGTGGGGAGAATGGGGGAGGGTCGGGCATTAGAGCTAGAAGAACTTGAAAACAGACCCCTACTTCCAGACAGGTTAGTCCAGGCTCCTTGCCTGCAAGTCTCGTTTGCTTTGGGAATAGGGGTGAAGAGGACAGGAAGGGGGCATGGGCCTCTTGTCAAATGTCCTCACCCCTCACTACCTTACCAGGCCAGGCCAGTAAGCTAGATAAGCAGTGACATCTTCTGTCTTACACACTTACCCCTGGTCCCTTCCTCTGGCCTAGAGCCACATACCCCAAGTCTGGATGAGGACGGAATCAACTTGGAAGAGATCAGGGAGTTTGCCAAGAACTTTAAGATCCGACGGCTGTCCCTGGGCCTCACGCAGACTCAGGTGGGTCAGGCTCTGACTGCCACGGAAGGCCCAGCCTACAGCCAGTCAGCTATCTGCAGGTGAGTAAGTCCTGCTCAGGCACCTGATGTCACTAGGCACTCACTGGGACCCAGGTGCATGGCCCCTTTCCATATTCTCCCTTGCTCCTGCCTCCTTCTAGGCCAGGAAGGCTGTTCTAAGGATCGACATGAACACCTACAGTAGCCAAAGACTGATGCAGTCCATCTGAGGGCCCTCTGTAGTTTATCCTCCAATCCTGAGCATTTATGTGGTCTTTTGGTGGGGGGAACCCAAGACCCTAATCCATTCAGGAGCCTACAGGGAAAGGAGCACAGCTTATGAAGTTGGTCCCAAAAGCGGGACCTTCGGTACTGACTTGGCTCTCAACCACGACCCCCGCTGCACCCCCCCCATTATGCCCCCATCTCCCCCTCCTCCAAGGCATGACTATAAAGGGATGGAGCTGGTTTTTCTGTGTGCAGTGTTCGAACTGGTTCTGGTGCCAGCATCAAAGGAGGGCAGAGGGTTTCAAACAAGAATGAGCACATGGCTCAGGGAAGGCCAAAAGGTGCCTGCCAACTCCCTGGATCAGATGACAGTGACTGTTAGAGCAGGCTCCATGATGGCAGTTCCATAGTCCCATCTGGGCTTTGGTCAGAAAGAGTTGTCTGACTTAGTGAGGCTGCTGTGGGGCTGACTGGAGAGGTGCACTCGTGACATCCATGTGCCATCTCTGAAAACCTCTCTAGACAACTCCTCAGGGGACCTCACTCACTTGGGTGTGAACATTCTGGAAGAGTTGTTCATACAGCAGTTGCACTGCTATCCTTGCACCACTGAACTGAGGCCATGGGAGTGGTCTCCCTGGTATGACCTGGGATGCAGGACAGTCTGAGGAGTCCGGGCTTGGCTGGGCCAGGGTGGTCTTGGTGGGGGTGGTGAGCGGAACATTTAGTCCAGTGTCACCAGTCCTGAGAGGAGCGGCCCCTTGCGGAGTGTACTCACACCCCAGTGTGAGGAATAAGACATTCTCACCGTCCCTTCCCTGGGCTCGGGTCACCCACAGGTTCGAGAAGCTGGACATCACGCCCAAGAGTGCCCAGAAGCTGAAGCCAGTGCTGGAAAAGTGGCTGAATGAAGCCGAACTCCGGAACCAGGAAGGGCAGCAGAACCTGATGGAGTTTGTGGGAGGTGAGCCCTCCAAGAAACGCAAACGCCGCACCTCCTTCACCCCCCAGGCCATAGAGGCTCTGAATGCCTACTTCGAGAAGAACCCGCTGCCCACAGGCCAGGAGATCACCGAGATTGCTAAGGAGCTCAACTATGACCGGGAGGTGGTGCGGGTCTGGTTCTGCAATCGGCGCCAGACGCTCAAGAACACCAGCAAGCTGAATGTCTTTCAGATCCCTTAGGGCTCAGCCCCCAGCCCTGCGTTCCAGCACTTTGTACTTCTCCCTTGGCACCTGGCTGCAGCCACCGCCGTGACAGCACCTGTCACAGTGTGGCACGCAGCTGTGCTTGTCCTGGGTCGCGAGACTCCACCGTGTGCATGTGTGTCCGCTGCCTCCCTCCTCTCCTCCACGTATCTCACAGCATGGGGAGGGCAGAGGGGCCCACCGAAAGCTCCAGGCTCGGGCCAGTCACGCTGAGGGATCCCTCCCTCACTTAAAGAAGCACTTTGCTAATGTGGTTTTCGAAGGGTGAATTCTGGTTGGGAACCAGACACCCCCCCGCCCCCCGTCCTGGGGGCAGGGCTGCTGTAGCCCCCGAAGGACCCCTGGCCATTTGCTCTTGTTTTTGACAGCGTTCTCTCTGGCCCTCTCTTCCCCTTTGCTCCTGTGTGTAAGTGTGGCAGGGACTGCAGCCTCACCTCCCACCCTTTGCCTGCAGGCACACTGCCCCCCCACCCCTCCCGAAAAGACCGAAGAGGCACAATTCTGGGAAAAGTGTGATGAGCTGCTCAGAAGGTCAGGCTCAGGGTCTGCCTTGCATTCAAGGTCAGAAGGTTCCCGCAGCCCTGGGGCCAGAACACGTGATCTTTCCCACTTCTTCCTGATTCCTTTTGGGGGGAAATTGCACTAAAGCGGAACCTTTTCATTTGTAATCCATGGTGGAAGGAAGCAGCTTTGAACTCTAGCTGTCCTGGAGTTGACCTGGGTGTACAGCACGTTGGGAACTTAGTAAATAAGCCCATCCTCCCAGATTTTAATCTAATCTCTGCCCATGGCTGTCGCCCCCACTAAACAGTGAGGGACAAAGAACTGGCAGCCTGGAAAATCCCATTCCCCAAGCTCGCAGCACCCTGGAGAAAAATGAGGGAAAGAATGCTGACTCTCTCTTTCTCTTGTCCTCCCACTCACGCCCAACCCAATTACGGGCCTTCTCAGAAGGGGCAAACGAAACACTAAACCAGACAGCAAGGCCCCGGGGAAAAGGCCAACATCCAGAAAGGACTGATGGCAGCCCAGGAAGGTCTCTGGCGGAAGGTGACTTGACTCTTAATTTTCTTTGAGACTTTGAGCCTTGGATATTGGAGGAGAAATCTTACTTTGTCCAAAGTCTTAGACCACGTGTTTGTGCAAACAATCCCCACCCCCACCCCCCAGTCAAGAAGACCCCTGAGGCAGGATGGGCGTCACCTGTAGAAAGGACAGCTATGGCACGTTGAGGGCTGGCATCTCATCCGAGCTGCTAAGTGAGTTTCACGGTGGCTGGACAACCCCTGGAACTCAGTATCACTCTGGGAGGTCAGGAGAGCACTAAGAGGTCGACTTAGATGAACCCAGGCTTGCTGTGTAGACCGTCCCTAGAGGGGCTCAAGTCACAGAGCCAGGTCCGTAGCAGCCGCCCTCCTCCTCCGCCGCACCTCCCAAGATAGACCCTGATGAAGTGGCTGTGAGGCGAGGGCACATCCCCATCCCCATTGGTCACTGTGGCAGAGCCACCTCCTAGTCTAGCTTCCTCTGGCTTGCGGTCATTTCCTGCCTACGACTGGTCCCCGGCAGGCCCTACATTGGCAGAGTGTGAGAGGACAATTGTGTGCCAAATTGCCACACACACACCCCGCTACGTTCGGACCAACCAGACCTTCCCGAGTGTAGTGGGAATGAGGAAGCAGGCAGGCCCCTTGCCTGCCCCGGCCTCCCAGGAGACAATATGTCTCCCCTGGGGGGGGGGCGCCACACTCAAGTTTAGGGTTATCCACCCCGTCTGCATGAGATGAACTGGCTTGGGAGAGGCATGCTAAGCAAGTTTTCAGTAAGAAGAGTTAAGGTACTGGGGTTGGCAAAGGATTCAGTGACTTACCCTTCAATAAATCAGAGAGACAGGTTTTCACCCTCAAACACTTGCGTTCAGATATGCTTTCTTTTTTGGGAGAGAAGTGGGTCACAGCTGGAGCCCTGGGAGTAGCATATAATCCAGGGTGTGGCCGTGGCTGTGGAGATGCAGGAGGAACCCATCTGTCCTGGTCTGCGAAAGGAAAAAGATAATGAAGTTCTGGTCTAAATTAGGCCTGGCCATGCTTTCTCAGCTCCTCCCTTTTCTAAATCTGTCTTCCCGAGACTGGGCTAGAATGAAACCATTTTCTCCTCTCCAGGAAGGATGGGTAGGTCTTTCCGAGGGACAGAATTTTTGCGGGCTGAATTTCCCAGGCAGGGGGGTGCAGAGTACCCCTGAAATGGCCCAGGGCAGAGCTCACCGGCTTGCCGTCTCTGCTCCTGCTCTCCCACCGTCGGACCCTCGGGGAGCAGCTATCTGTACCCGAGGTGGGTTTTCTGCTTTGTTTCTGGTAGCGCCAGGCTCTGAAGGGCGTTAATGTAACTTTTGTTTTGAAAGCACCTTTCTGGACAGAAGCCAGAGCTTAGGCAGGAGAAAGGGCAGAAATGATTTCACTGTCTGCGTGTGGTGTTGTTTGTTTGTTTTTGTTTTAAATGAAAGAAAGACCGAAACTTTCTATGGCCCGGTGAATCAGCTGGGGTCTTTGACCCTGCACTATCCACGGCATTTTATCTAGTGGGGGCCCAGGGAAGAATTTGGCCAAGCGGATTGAGGAACACACTTGAATCTGGAATGAGAGAAACCCTGACGTTTTTGTGCCCTTGGACCCACTCACCTTCCTATGCCTAGATTTCCTTTGTGTCTCATAGGCCAGGCTCTGACACTGAGGTTCTGACTATCTCCCCACAAGGGGCAAAGCCTGCTGAGGGCTGGAGTGAGGGGGTGGGGAGGGAAGAATGGGGATGAAGCACTTGATGTAGTTGTGTGGAATAAACAGTATTTTTCTTTTGTACGGGTCTGCTTGTTGATCCTTCACCTCTCAGGAGCTGATAGGGAGAAGCCAGACGAGTACCGGGGAGCTACCTCTGCCATCAGAGCTTGTAGCCTGGAAAACCCCATTGCAGGAGGGCGAGCGTTAGTGCCCTGGCCTCTCACTTCAGAAAGCCCTGCCATGACCCTCCAGCCAGGATCCTCCCCACGGAATGCAGGGTCAAGATGTGCCCTTTCTCCTTCCAGGACCTCAGAATTCCCTGCAAAGCCCACTTTCCAACCTCTCTTCTCTGGGTTTTGACAGACTGTGCTGTTGGTGTGCACACTCCTAGGCCCAAGAGGTGGCCAAGGGGTAGCTGTTTGTCAGAGAGCTGAGTGGATGGAGCTTGGATATACAAGCTGGAGTGTTTGCAAATACCCACAAAGCCCTTTGCCGTGTGAGGTGGGTGTGCCAGGGGGGAGGAGAAGACAGACTGTAGGCTGGGGACCAAGGCTGCGGAACATTCTAACACAGAACTTCAGGTTATTACGAAGGTATGCTTATCATGATACGAGGCTAGATCATTCACAGTTAACTTAGACTTGATGCAAATTTAGCTGTGTGGTAAGTGGATCTTCATTTGTGCTCTTCCTTAGGCCTACAAATGTTAGGGGCAGACCTGGCACTTGGGCTTAGAGCAGGTAGAGCATGACTGCAAAACGGGCCCCTCTCTTTACCTGTCTACCTCCTAGGAGTTGGGTTTATGCACCCCCCCCTCCTCCCCCTTCCACCTACCTGGTATTGATGAGGTCTGGGCTCCATCATCTAAACTGGTGAGAGCAAGGCATCACCTCTGATTCCACCCAATCAACATCCCTGAGCCTGGCCCTGTGCTGGATTCTAGATCATGCTCTACCACCCCACCTCTGCCCAAGGGACAAAAGGTGTCCAACATTCTGATGTAGGGCTTAGGGATCTGAGGAGCTTTATAGCACTCCGAAATGATGGGGCAGAAAAGTCAAATAGAAGCCAGCGCTTACCTCTGCGTAGATCTCACAACCCTAATATTAGCTGTCCACACTAGGCTGGGACTCCTCAGTACCCAGGCCAGGGGCACACAGTAGGTGCTTGATGAACGTCAGATAGATGACTGAATGCGTTTCCTGTCTTCTCCTTCAAGGAAATAATAAAAGCTGAGTTCCTGACTTCACACTCCTGGGAGAAAGCAGGTATAGAGGATTCTGCTTAGCTATGCAGGGTTTAGACTGTGGTATGTGGGAGTGAATGGAATCTGGGCAGCAACTGGCCCTGACCTGAGAAAGGCAGCTCCCAGCAGCTCCCACCAGAAGAGTTGGTGGAAGCTGATCTCTCTGGCTCAAACCAGTTGAATGTGGTTCCTGGCATTTGTCCCAGGACAGCCTGAAATGAAGAGGGGTGGTTTTGTAGAGGACTGCAATTTCTATTCCCAGGTCTCAGATGTTCTTTTGGGTTTCTGGACTCAATTCCGCCGTGTATGTGGAGGCTTCCCCACACCAATAAGCGAGGCTCAGACACCAACAAGGTATCCACGAATTCAGTTCAGTTCTGACACTATCTCCCTGAAGATAGCATCAGATTCTACAGGTAAAAGGCTCAGTCCCACAAGACCACCCTCCACTTCTGATACCATCACACGCCCAAGTTGTTACCTGTGCTTCTGATTGACCAGCTACAAATTGGAAGCTCCAACGGTCCCCTTCCAACAGGATGCCAGTTGTGAGTATAGGTTGTTACCTACACTTCTTTTTTTTTTTTTTTAATGTTTTTTTATTTATTTATTCATGAGAGTCAGAGAGAGAGAGAGAGAGAGTGAGAGGCAGAGGCAGAGGGAGAAGCAGGCTCCCTGCCTAGCAGGGAGCCCGATGCGGGGCTCGATCCCAGGACCCTGGGATCATGACCTGAGCCGAAGGCAGACGCTTAACCATCTGAGCCACCCAGGCGCCCCTGTTACCTACACTTCTGACCAACTGGCTATACATTAGAGGTTCCCATGACCCCCTCTTTGGGTTCTAGATTAATTTACTAGAATGGCTCACAGAACTCAGGGAAACCCATTTACTCGCCAGATTACTGCTTTAGTACAAAGGTTATTAAGGGATACAAATCAACAGCCCTATGAGGAAATACATATGGCAAGGTCCAGAACAAAGGAGCTTCTGTGTTCATGGAGCTTGGGGCCCTGGCTCAGTGGCACATGGAACGGTTCTATTTCCCAACCTGGAAGCTCTCTGAACACCTTCCGTTGGGATTTTTATAGAGGCTTCATTACATAGGCATGGTTGATTAACTCATTGGTCATTGGT